ATAACTCAATCTTCTGTACCTGGTAATAATACTGTTGCTAGCTTTGCTCCACAACTAGTAACACAGACACGCCAGGTTGTGACACATGTTGGTCAATTTGCATCTATGGTTGAGGATATTAATTTAGAAGATTTAGATGAAACTAGTCAAAGTTCTATAAATGAATTTAAAATTGCAAAACAAGCTTTATATAATAATATTGCTGGTTTGGTTATGGCCGCTCAAAGTGCAACCGATCCGTCCCTCAAATCTAATATAATGGATCATGTTCAAATTTCTGCTAATGTTGTTGAAAAATCTGTAAAAGACTTGATAATTGCTGCAAAGTTCCTTATGGAAGAAAAAGATACACAAGATCAATTAAGAATTCAAATGCGTACTCCTAGGCATTCTAATTCTGAAATATTATCAAAACTGCCTTTAACATCGATTGAAGATGGCGCGAATGACGTCACTGAAGATGCTGAAATTATGGATAATCAAAGCATCATTCCTATTAGTCCTCCAGTAACGATTCAAACAACTGGTTTACAAACTGTACCCGAGGATGATGTTATGAATACCGAGTCACCTACGATTTTAAATGATCCAAATTCGATCAATGCGATCAGTACGACTGATGACCCTGATAAAATACCAACTTCTCCAGTTTCCGATGGTTCTTCTATGACTGGTAGTCGTTCGTTTTCGAGCAGTACTGTAGATTCATCAACAGTATCAGTTCAATCTTATAGCTCATCTGCTCAACGTATAAATACACAACCTACTGCTCAGCCCGATTATCGAGCATCATCTCCTCCATTACCTGGTAATCCAGGTGGTACTAGGTCACCACGTAGTGAAAGTAGTAAAGTTACCAAATTCTTTGGTGAAGATGTTCAATCCATAAATCAAACCCGTGTACAACGTGAAGATAAACCCTGGTTCCTTAAATATGATTATGAAGAAGCTGAAATAGTTTTCAATATGGAAAGGCATGTTAAGGGTGGTACTTTAAATGCTTTGGTAGAAAGATTAACGATGCACGATTTACTTGATTCAAGTTTTATAGCAACTTTTTTGTTGACATATCGTTCATTCTGTACCACTGAACAATTTTTTGAAATGTTGACCAAACGTTTCATGATTTCACCTCCTGACAATTTAACACCTGAGCAACTTGAAATTTGGCAAGAAAAGAAACAAACACCTGTTAGATTAAGAGTTTTTAATATTATGAAGAGTTGGTTGGAAAATTATTATATTGATGATAAAGACGCTTCTTGTTTGGAACGTATTCGTGAATTCGCGCAAACTACAATGCATGAACACATGGCTTTTGCGGCAGTGAGTTTGATTAAAGTCATTGATAAACGGGTATTTATTTCTTTACAATCATCTATAATCGTTATATAAATTGGTTATATATATATATATATATATGTCTCACTCTTTTTCTTTTTTCTTTTTTTTTTTCCTTTGTATTATATATATATATATATAGTTACAACAACGAAAGGATGCTGTCTTTAAAGAAATGATTCCTAATAATACTATGTTACCACCACCTTCAATTAAACCGAAAAATCTAAAAAAAATCAAATTTTTAGATTTGGACCCATTAGAAATTGCAAGACAATTAACTATAATAGAAGCTAAACTTTACAATAAAATTAGACCAGTTGAATGTTTGAACAAGGCATGGAGTAGAGAAAGTAAAGAAGGTGAAGATGGCGATGGTGAAGAAGTAGCTGTAAACATCAAAGCCATGATTGTTAACAGTAATCAGGTAAATAAAGATTTTTAAATCTATTACATATCTAATTTATGATTTCAACATTTTATAATACGCTAATTTAATATATTTATATATATTATTATTATTATTAGATAACTGGATGGGTAGCTGAATCAATTCTTAATCAAAAAGAAATTAAAAAACGATGTGCTTTTATCAAACATTTTGTTGCAGTAGCTGATAGATGTAAACAATTAAACAACTTCAATTCCTTAACGGCAATCATTTCCGGTCTTAATTCGGCACCAATTCATCGCCTTAAGAGAACATGGGAGATGGTAAATGCACGAACAATACAGACGCTTGATAACCTTAATAGAATCATGAACTCTACAAAGAATTTCTTTGATTATCGAGAAATGCTACATAGTGTGAATCCACCGTGCGTACCATTTCTGGGTAAGATTAACACAGTATTTTTTAAAGAATATTGAAATCGACTTAAAATACGATATTAATATAATATTAATACAATATTAACATAATACATTAATGTAAATTAACACAATGTTAATTATTTATTTCAGGTGTTTATTTAACTGATCTTACTTTTATCGAAGATGGTAATCCGGATATTCTTAAAAAAAATCAACAATTAATTAATTTTTCGAAGCGAATGAAAACTGCAGATGTGATACGTGAAATTCAACAGTATCAATCTGTACCCTATAATCTTACTCCTGTACAGGAAATTCTAATTTTCATTCAAAGTCATTTACAAGATAGTAGAGATGTTAGCGATTTATATAGTACAAGTTTGGATATGGAGCCAAGGTAATCTTTCATTTTTATTAATGGATTGTATTTAGAATCACGTATTATATATATTACACACCACCCACAATAAAAATAGAATCTGTATAATTTTTCATAAATTTATTTTTGTTAAAACTTGTAAAGATTATACACCTTTGAAAATATATTTTATGACAATATACTAAACATAGATTTGACTTATGGAACAAAATCAATATATTTCGATTTTTCATTACAGGGAACGAGAGGATGAAAAAATTGCAAGATTGTTACAAGAAAGCGGTTTCCTATAACGGAA